AAAATCTAAATTAAATAAATAAAATTCCAAAAAAAATTATAAAATTTTCATATTTTTTAATCATACAATTTTAATTTTTATATATATTCTATGAATTGTTCAGATTTTTTTTTGAATTTTTATTAAATTATTAAATTATTAAATTTTAATTATCAGATTTTTAAAAATTTTATAATTTTTTAGAATATTTCAATACTTTGAAAATTTTAACTTTTCAAAATTTTTTGAAATTTTGAATATTTTTTATGCATTATCAAAATTTTTAATTTTTTATTTAAAAAAATTTTTCTTTTATTGTTGACATAGCAATTGATAAGGTGACTATAATTGAATTTTTTTTATACGTATTAATATCTTATTAGATGTTTATATCATATCAATAATTAATTTATAATATTAATCCAAAATGTTAAAATAAATAATAAAATAAAAATTTTAATATTAAAAAAATAATTTTATTTTTTAAAATATCAATTTAACCAAAAAAATATTATACGGACTATTTTTATATTTACCCAACAATATAAAGAAGAGTTGCACACTTATAAAGAAAATGATAAAGGACGGTTAGGCCGGTGAACCAATAATAGAAGATTGAAAACGACCATTCCAATTCAATCAGTGGACTCATATCTCTGTTCCATTGTCTTTTTTAATTAATTCCTTTATTTGAATTTCTTTTAGCACAAGAAAATACATAATATAAATTTTAATTTTAATTCAATTAATTCATACATTTAATTTTAAGACATGACCTTAAATAAGTTTAAATTATAATATTTATAATTTCTTATTTTATATTTTTGACTTCTTATATATAAAAATTATATAATATCAAATTAATTTTCAACATATTAAGGTAGCTAATTAGTAATTAATGATAAAAAATAAATTATTGAATAAACGAGGAGAATAAGAACATTTGGCAAAAAATTTAAGAAATTAACAGGTGATTAGTTTAATTGGTTAAATTTATTTTTTTTGACGAAGAGGTTTTGAATTCGAAATCTATCAGTGATCATTCGTTAAAATTATTTCGAATGCATGATTTATGATTAAGTGTCTTAAGCTATTAGGTACGACACATATTACTTTGAAAGATTAAATAATTTTATTTATCATAAATTTTTTCTTTAAAAAAATTAAGAAAAAAAATTATCAAAGTTCGAAAAGAAAGTACTTAGGATTTCTAACTACGAAGAAAAAGAAGGCAAAAAAAAAAAAAGTTCGGCAAAAATATGAGAAATTGAAAAAAAAGAATTAAAATTTTACGAAATAAACATGTGAAAATATTTAGAGATGAAAAAAAAAAAATTAGGAGAGAGATGAGGGGTGCCAGCTATTTGGTAGCTGAAAAAGGTAGTGAGGACCCAAAGAAAAGGTCGGCTACAGGATTTTACATGGTCATCCATACCTTTCACAATTGAGCAAGTCCAGCCTGACCTTGCACAACAAAAATCATTCTTATTTATTTACTTTTTAAATTTTTAAATATTAAAAGATTCTTTTAATCATCTAAAATTGTTATTTTTGGTATGAGTTATGACAGCTTTTTTCTTATGCATGCAAAATTGCCAACTTATTAGGCATTTGACTTGAGGATTTCAGGTTGCAAGTATTTTGGCTGGACAAACTATCAATAAATTAATCCATATTCGTTTGTGCAATCATTTATTTTTTTAAAATGGTTTGAATCATCTTATTTTTTATTGTGATGCTATATGTCAATTAAATTTAATTTAAAATATAATAAGATGATATGATATTAATAAAAAATATAAAAATAATATAATTTAAATTTAAAAAAATTATAAATAAATTTAATAAAATTAAAATTTTATATTTTTATATTAAAATAAATTTTGAAATGTGATTTTTATATAAAAAATCAAATGAATATAATATTATATATGATATAATAATACGATTTATCAGAACTAATATTAATGATAAAATTTTTATCCTCTAAAAGCAGGTTTTTTACTTTATATGTTTCACTTAATAATATTAATTAATTAACTTCTTTAATTCTTTTGGTGAAATTTAAAATTTTTAATGTATAACCATTACAATATTTGAATGTATGATTTCTTGTTAAAAAAGAAAGATTTAATTCTTATAAAAAAAAATCTATACGATAATCTTTTTATTTTTTTTACTTTATTATTATTATTTTTTGCTTAGGAAAGTGAGAAATTTGAATTCAGTTCTTTGAGAAAAAATATATGTATATATTATTGAATGAAATATTGAAATGAATTTTTATTAAATTAAAATTAATAAGCAATTGATATCGTATGTAGAATTAGGTCGATATATAAAGCTAGAATTCAACCAAATTTGTGGCTCACCAGTCAAAATAAAAGATCCTCGGGTCAATTCAACTGCTTTATTAAAACCAGAATATATTCGGCTTTTGCCAATTTTGCTGGGCAAGATAAGAAGCAACCTTGCCACTTGGGCTTTAGCCTGGTGCCGCCGCGGCTGCCCAATGGAGGGAAGTCCAATTTTTAGACCAGATTTTAAAAAAATAATCCATCCTGCCTTTTAAGATTTATTATTTTCGTCCCAAAATATTTAAAATATTTGTAATGTATTAAAAAATTTTCTATTTTAATATATTTAATATTAAAATTAAAATTTTATGATTTTTAATATCAAAAAGTAAAAAAAATCATAAAATATAAATTTAAAATATAAAAAATAAAAATTCTAAATATTCGAAAATAAAAAATAAAACATAATTTCGGAACATTAAAAAAAACAAAAAGCAAGCCTTAAGTCTTGTCACAACTAGAAGTGTAAATAATATATTAGTACTCGCAAGTTACTTGGGTTCGATTCGAATAAAACTCGAATTTGATTCGAATAAAACTCGAATTTGATTCGATTATTATCGAGTCGAGCTCGAGTAGTTCGACTCATCGATCGAGCAGAATTCGAGCATTTTTATATTTGGTTCGAGTAACTCACGAGTATAATCGTATTTTTATATTTAAATATATTTTTATTATTTTAATTAATAAAATATCTCGAATTCGAGTTCAAGCTTTAGCACAAATAATCGAATTCTTGTCGAATATACGAATCAAATTTATTTTTATATATTAATCGAATGAGCTCGAATAGTTCAATTTCGATCACGAATCGAGTTCGAGTTAGCAAAATGAAACTCGATCGAGTTCAAGCGATAAGTTAAAGGTTTAGCTCGAGCTTCTCATTGTATCAACTCCACTTGATTCGATTATATCCCTAATCACAATTGTCTTATTTCCTTCAATTTTTCGTTTCTTTTTTTTTTTTTGTTATTTTATATGCTATAAGTGCAACAGAGGCTTTCATATAAAATCTTTTGTACACACAACCAATTCTTTATTTTATCAAAATTAATAATCCATTATCTTTTCAATAGTATATTGTTGATTGGGTGATTAATTATTTAAAATTTTAAGTTGATCAAAACTAAATTTTATATTTAAAAAAACATCTTTCTATACATGAAATGACCAACAACAAGTATGGCATAGAGTATTTGAACTAAATTATGACAATTTTAAATACAAAATGAAATGAGTAAGACAAATAAGAATAAAATTAAAGTATAGGAAAGGGAATAGGAAGAACGCTTCCTTTATACTAAATTTATCTCTTTCTTGCTCTAGAAAGATGTGTATGGAATGAGTGAAGGCAAATGGCAATATAAAGAACCAAAGTATGGGACAGGAAATAAGGAATAAGAAGAACCCTTATGGTATAATTAGAGACAAAGCATAGGAAAAGAACTAAATGTGTTTCTTTCATCCCACGTGTTCTCAAAATGATAAGCATATTTATTAAAAGAATTTTTAGTTTGCTAGCGAACGGGGTAAAGAACATTTACTTTGGACAAAACTTAGGAGAAGTTTTTAACGTGGGATTCATAAAATTTTTTATTAAAAATAAATAAATAAAAATTTTAATAAAAAATTTGAATTGATAAATTGATAAAATTTAACGTGAAGATCAATAATATGTAAAAAAAATTATTTATAATTTAAATTTAATTAAAATTTATTTAAAGATAAAAATTTTATCAATATTTTTATTAAAAATATTTATTTAATAAATATATCAAAATTTATTAAAATTTTTTCAAAATTTATACGCTTAATCTATTTGATGAAAATTTTAATCTATTAATTTTAATTTTCGATTTTAAATTTTATTTATTCATTTCTATTAAAAAAACTTACAAAATTCACTTACGAAACTTACGGAAGTCTTTCTGCTTCATTCGGTTTCATACCTTCATAATAAAAAACAATACAAAAGGCAGTACAGGTTACTATGCCATTTTTCATAGTTGGTTTCATTCAAACCTCCATAATCCCTAAATCAATAGAAAAGTTGTAGAGAAATAATAACCCACACTTGTTTCCCTCTGCTTAAACACATATATGGCTGAATCTTTCGCAATTCTCATTGGTGAACAACTCCAGGAGAAACAACAAAATGTAGCGGGGAAATTAGTTGACATCGTTTACAAAGAAATATGGCTTGCATGGGCTGTCAAAAGCGACTTGGAAAAGCTTAAAGAGACCTTAGGCACTATCAACGCGGTGCTGTTGGACGCTGAAGAAAAAAAGACTCACAATCATGCGCTGCGGGAATGGCTGGCGAAGCTCAAGAATGCCTATTATGATGCAGAAGATGTGCTGGATGAATTTGAGGTTGAAGCAATGAAGAGGCAAGTCCTGAAACGAAGGAGCATTGGAAGGAAGGTTTCCCATTTCTTTTCATGCTCAAACCCCGTTGCCTTTGCTTTTAAGATGGCCAATAAGATCAAAAGCATTAGACAGAGATTTGATGAAATTGCAGCTTTGAGAAAAAACTTTCATCTCGAAGAAAGACATGATCAGGACACTAGGCTTCTCATGCAGGGGGAGAGCAACAGGTAGTCCGACTCTTCGCTCTAACCGAATATCGTTGGTCGAGATGAGGATAAAGAAAGAATAATAGAAATGTTAATGCATCCGACGAATGGGATTGGGGAAGACATCCCCGTCCTTCCCATAGTTGGAATTGCAGGTCTCGGGAAGACAGCACTTGCAAAGTTAGTATTCAACGATGACAGGATCGATGAGCATTTCCAACTGAAAATATGGGTATGTGTAGGATTTTGATGTCAAGCAACTGAGGATTAAAACCATTAAATCTGCTGGAGGTGAAATACGTGGTGACATGACCAAGGAGCAATTGTAAAGTTCTACGAAGTTGCTTGAATGGTAGAAGGTATTTGCTCATACTAGATGATGTTTGGAGCCATGAAATTAAAGAATGGATTAAACAAGATTTGTTAATGGACAGAGTTCAATGGAAGTAAAATCATAGTCACCACACACACGTAGCAACCGTGTTGCTACAATCACAGGCACACTGCCTGCATACAACTTAAAAAGTCTTCCTTTCGAGGAATCATTGTCTTTGTTTCTTAATCTTGCCTTTAAAAAAGGCAATGAGAAACAACATTTGAACCTCGTAAAAATTGGGGAGGAAATTGTTAAAAAATGCGAAGGGGTTCCTTTAGCTTTGAGGACGCTTGCCAGCCAACTTTGCTTTAAAACCGCAGAAGATGAATGGAAAAAACTTAGAGATGATGAAATATGGGAGTTTGAGCAAAAAGGAAAGGGTATTTTACCAGCACTAAGACTAAGCTATGATCAATTGCCTTCATATTTGAAGCAATGTTTCGCTTCTTGTTCTGTCTTTCCAAAGGACTATAACATTGCCAATATTCAGTTGGTTTCATTTTGGGTGGCACTTGGTCTTCTTAAATCCTCCAGGGAGAATGAAGTGCTAGAGAATGTTGGAAAACAATACTTGAGAGAGTTGCAGGAAAGATCTTTCTTTCAAGATTTCCAAGAAACACCTTTTGTGATTAGATTCAAAATGCATGATCTTTTACATGATTTTGCACTGTGGCTGGCGAAAGATGAATGCTCTATGTTGAAATCATCTAGCCGATATTTGAGCAAAACAATTAGACATATGTCAATTGTCGACCCAAAGATATTGGAGGGAGGTGCTCCCAGTGGGCTCTTGGATAATGCGGGTCATGTTCGAACATTGTTCTTTCAACATATGGAAAACTCTAATAGTGTCATTTATCAAAAAATTTGTCTCAAAGTGTCCTCAGCTACGTGTGCTAGATTTATGTGAGTCTAGTTTTGAGGTAATGCCAAGAATTATAGGCCAGTTGAAGCATCTAGGGTATCTCAACATAAGTGACAATGTCAGCATCAAGAAACTTCCAAATTCTATTTGCAAGTTGCAGAGTTTGCAGACTTTGTTTCTTGCTGGTTGCAAAGGAATTGAAGAGCTGCCTCGAGGGATAAGGTACATGATTAGTCTCAGAATGTTGTTCATAACTACAAAACAGAGGGTTCTTCCCGAGAACGAAATCGGAGGCCTTAATTCTCTTCCGTTTTTGTCAATTTCTGAGTGTGAAAACTTGGAATATTTGTTTGATGGGATGCAAAACCTTACAGCCCTTCGAACATTGTTGATTCTGTTATGTCCAAACTTGGTTTCATTACCGCATGGCATAAAGCACCTTACTGCATTAGAAGCTCTGTTTATTTAGGGTTGTGAAAAGCTTAATTTTGACATGGAGTTGGAATTCAAAGGGGCAGCCTTCAAAAATTAGCAATTGGAGGATTACCAATGCTAGTGGCATTACCCCAATGGCTTCTTCTAGGATCCACCAAGACTTTGCAGCACTTAAGCATTGTTCGATGCGAGAATCTTACAGAATTACCAGACTGGTTACAAAATGTCACATCTCTTCAATACCTAAAGATTGCTGGAATCTGGATGCCCCAAATTGTCATCTCTACCAGATGGCATGCGACACTTTGCTTTCCTCAACCAATTGGGGATTGAAGCTTGTCCTACTTTGAGCAAAAGATGCAACCAGGAGAAGGTGAAGATTGGCCCAAGATTGCTCATGTCAAAAGGATTGTGCTTGACGGTATTGAGATTCTATCTGCAAATGACCATTAGGTGGTAAGGGTCAATCTTTCTCTATGTCCTATATCTTCATCTCAGGCTCAATCCTGTTATGTAAATTAAACCAAGTTAGGTTAAAACAAGTGTAGTTCCAACCAGCTTTAAGCCAAATTGTTCAAACTAAAAGGCATTAGAAAAATATACTAACCTTTATTTCCTCAATTGGCAGGGGTACGACGGCTTGTTGTTTCGGAATTCTCTGAGGGGCTGGACCAAACTGTTTAATGGAAATTTACCCAATTTAATTTAAATGTTGTCAGCAATGTTAATTGTTACATTTATGTACTTGTAAATATGTCAATGTCTATAATTTGTATAAGGCACTATGAATAAAAAAGTATATGATATTTGTTAAACTCTCTAAATTTTATGCAACTGAAATATGATTGTATTTTTACAAAGGGAAAAAAAGGTATTATGCATTTAGCCGTGTCAATATTGATCTGACCAATGAACCCTTCTATTTTAAATCTATTAATTCAATTTAATTACAGCACATATGACTTATCAGTGAGTGATTGATCTTATTTCAGACCACAAGCACATCTTATTTATTGAAAATTTTTTATTTAATAATTTCTAAAAATAAATTATCAAACGTATTTAAAAAAATAAATAATTAATAATTTTAATTCTCAGTGGCTTACCAAACACATCCTTTGTTTCTCTGGTTTGTTTTAACACGCTTCATTCCAGTTCCAACATTTGTCTGCCCACTGCTCTGTGATTCTACAACAACAAAGAATTAAGTCCATATCCTCGAAAAGTTAAAAAAAAATTGAAGTCAGTATAGATTCCACCAGTACCTCCATCTCCTACTGAAATCAATCTAGTATAGATTCCACCAGTATCTTCATCTCCTAGTGAAATCAATCTACTAACCCAATGACTCCAAAAGTATCATTCATCTCCTCTTTCTGATGACACTTCTTTAACAATGTAACATTCATTTTGGCTTCAGAAAACCTCAGCCTGGTGATGAAAATATTCACTGTGTACCAGACAATAGGTTTATAACTGGTAGATATTCCAAAACGTTTTCTAAAACAACAACTAGCACTTAAAGTTCGAAAGCATATAAGCTTTTCGCTACCATTTGCAGTGACTTCTACACGACATAGATGGAAACATAGCATCAGATTAAGACATGAATGCTAGTTATCCATCCTAGTAAAATATTAGCAATTTTTAATATACAATACTTATAAACCAGTAACATTACATTCACAATCCTTTTATTTCTTATTTAAGAAAGTTTTGGCATGAGCATAGTCGAATCAATATGATAACAATTCATTTATCCCTAGTGATCAAGTTAGAACTTACCAGATGTCAATAAGTATTAACAATGATACAGTTTACTTTTCAATATAAAATGCTTATAAACCAGTAACATTACATTCACAATCCTTTTATTTCTCATTTGAGAAAGTTTTGGTATGAATATAGTCGAAATAATATGATAACAGTTCATTTATCTCTGTATAGGCAGGTTGTTACTCCGAGAACTTCCGAGGATTGTCCTTTGACAACATAGTATCTGCTAAGCAGTACCGATTGCAGGAAGTTATGCATTTGTTTAAATTGACTTGTCAGCAACTTAACAACATGATCTACCAGTTACTACGATCTCAATCCTCAAAACCTTAGCACTTTTAACAAATGCTTCACACAAAGATGATATCAAAAAACTTACAGACGTTGGAAATTCATGATAATTCAAATGAATAATCAACTGTTTCATATAAGTACATAGTTATCATTGTTCAAGTCTCTTAGTTCAAGATCATCCAAAATGAGCCAACCATTCAAAGCAAGCTACATTAGATTACACAAGCACGATCCTAATGAAATTAATAAAATTTGATTGAATAGATGCTTTTTATCCCCAAATGTTGCTAAAAATAAAAGTCAAAATCAAACAACAAAATCATATTTTGAATCCAAATTCTACCACAAAAGGTAAAATTGTCTATTTAACCTTTTACATCTGGAATTAGAAAGTAAGTTGCAAACTCAAAAACCAATCAATCAGAACCAGAACTTAAAGAGAACACAAAAAATCCACTTACCAAGCTCATTATTGTTCTCTTCTTTGTGGTTGCTCTTCAACATCTTGGGCCTAGGCTTAAGACGCTTCAAAAACCCAGATTGCAATCTCACCATGATCCCAATCAAAATCCCTTGAATCTCATCTCCATGAGGCTCAATGACCCCCAAGCCCCTAGCCACAGCTTCCAGAGTACTAGCACACCGACCAAAGGGTTCTTTCCTTAAAACTAATACATTACCATAAATACTCCCACCCATCACACTCTCATCAACTCCATCCAAACAAACTTATAGCAAAACCATTCAAAACCCCTTCACTGGCCCTCACCATCTCTTTGACATGCTTCCACGTGGCATCAAAAACAATTAAAAGAAGTGGAGCAGTTTGGTTATTGAGGAGGTTAGTGGATTTGAGTTGGGATAGAGTGACGGCGGGAGAGGAAGAGGAAGGGGAAAGACGGAAGAGGTAGATGCGGATGGGAATTGGTTAGGGAGGTGCTGAGGGAGAAGGCGGTGGTAAGAGATGGTGGTGGCGTTGAGGATGGTTTGGAAATGAGTGGGGTTGTGTTAAGCTTGCGTCGGTACCAGTGGGCATGGCGGATGATCAAGATTTTGGTTTTGGTTGGGAGTGGGGAAGGGGGAAGAGCGTGGCAAAGGCAGACTACTACTAGTGGCCGGTCACAACAAGCGCATAGTTAACGGTGTTGCGGCGGTGATGATGGTAGTGATTTGTATGCTGTGCTTGCGTAGCTGGTGTCTTCTGGTACTTCCATGAGCGGGCCGTGGAGTTCTTAAAATGGGATGCTTTTTTCGAGTGTTCTTCCATGTCAGTGTCAGCTCGATTGTGCAATTGTCTAACGGGCGAGTGGCCCATCAAGGACTTCTAGCCTCGCCCTGTAATTTGGCTGCTTGGACGGGTTTTGTTTTGTGAAGTTACACCGCACGAACTTTCAGTCAAGCCTAAATAGAGGAATTTTAGGTCCACCTCGGCCCAAAATTTTTTTTATTTAAAAAAAGACATTATGCATCAATTACTTAATCAAATGTTTAAATTTTAAATAAATAATTTTTGAGTTGAATTTTTTTAATTATTTCTACTTTACATAAGATTTATTTATTTATTTTACAAATAATAAAATTTAAATTATTTATTATTTTATATTGTATGCATGCAATAATTACAATCATATATTTTATATGTAAATCGAAGATATAGAACTAAAAAAAAAAAATCAGATACATAAATATTTGACACGCAAAAAATCTTGCATTTGCTCCCTAAAAACAGTAATAGAGAAAAAAAAAAAAGAAAGTAAAAAAAATTTAAAGAGGCAATAGGATACTTGCTACTTTATAAGACCGGAATTTACGCGTACAAATTATTTGTACATGCACCTAGAATATAAAAGTCATGATTTTGAGCAAGTATTGCAGAAATTTTTTTCTAGTAGAAGATACAGGTAACATGTGCATAAAAGACCTATCTGCATACACAATGGTGATGAATCATAATCTTATATTTGTATGACAAGCAAGAATTTATGATAATTTAATTACTCACCTTAGCAAACTAAAATCCCCTCGATCACCGTGCTTTGCTCTGGTAATCAATGGCTGGGGTAGAAATGAAACAAACTGCTCCAGCAATGAGGGCTCCTTAGGAAGTATCTGAAACTGGCGACTTGAACAAGCAACAGCAGCAAAAATATCTGAATTTCGGTGACTTTCAAGACTGCTCAAACTTTATGACAAGTTTGATTTGAATGGACAATTGCAAACAGGACGAAATGACTCTGAAGAGATGATCCATGGCTTCAGAGTCTGTCGCTTTTGATGTCTACGAGTTGCCAAAGGAACATTAGTATCATGGATTTCTGGAATCCTGTTGAAGTGAAATGGAGTGAACTTCCCAGCTGTTCGTACAATGATGCACTCCCACGAAGGATTTTCTTCCTGAAAAACAGAATTTTAATCAGGAACTTGCTGATCTAGTTCTATTAAAAGGAACTTCAAGAAAGAACAAAAATCTCCTTTGGGGATGGAAGGGCAAAGGTGAAATTAAAATGCTTAAATATCCAAAAAAATGCTCAATGAGGCAC